CGTGTAAGCCGCGGAGTTGCACAGACAGATAGATCCATTTGCAAGGTTAGTTCCAAGCGAAATGATAAGGCCTCTCATGACAATATATCTACTCTTTTACCAGTTGGCTTGTAGTTAAGCTTTGTAGATACTATCTAGTTGAAAAGTTCTAGTCTTGGTGGTGTGATTCAAAACTGCTCTAACCAACACCTTAATGCCCAAGTGAACTCTTACTGTGCAACACTTGTTTAGTGACAGAGTAGAAGTGCCAACTTGCTAAAACATGAATAAGAAACTTGACGAAATCCATCGCATCATATCTATTTCTTATAATATGTTAACTGTATGTTTGTGATTCGGAAAGAGTCCCGAGTAAATGTGCTACCCTAGACACGAGTAAACGAGCAATACAATAGAAGTGACAATCGGAGGATATCCCAATAATTTAATGCATCAGTTGACTTCCGGCTTCGAAGAGTGATATAGGACGATTAAGCAACTATTCATTATAATACATCATTTCTGTGTCTTCGGCTTCACAATACTAGTCAGTGCACGCGTGGTCGGTTTTGCAGCGGGTGATATTGACGTTGACATATGAGAGAAAATTTAATCAAGTTTCTCTCAATAATGAAGAAAAAGATATGATGTGTTTTAAGTGAAGGAGGGATAAAAGAAAACATCTTCTAGTTCTACTAAACTTGTAAGAAAAAAGTATCTTTGTTTGAACGCTCCTATTACGCAGTGTTACAACCTGAAGAAGCACTGGCTCTTGGCAGAAACAATACGACCGCTTACATAAAAAAGAACATCTGATCAGAATATGTTAGACCCCTAGGGAGGCATATGTGGCAGGGTTATGAAATGTTGCTAAGGTAGTGGCAGTACGAGGCAGTAATGTATGAGCACGCGCCCAACTACTTAGCCAATACCTCCTTACAACCCCTCTTAGTCTACATATGGAAAAGAGTATATGAACAGAGTGACCAAAATAATCTGAGTGGTAAGTTGATGGGTAATATGAATATGTAGTGGCAAGTCCTAGATACTGGTGCTTGCTCTTGGCTACCTTGTTTTGAGTGTGGATGTTAACGTGATTGTATTTAATAGGTTGAATGTTGCAGTGATAAAACGCCAATCACCGCTCAAATATAATTTTGTATATTTGCCTGATATATTCGAATACGTTTGTTATGTTATGTTCAATTTGTTGATCCGAGTCTAGATGGATATGCTCAGGGGCTGGTCAAGATAGTGTCACTCCACCATATCTACAGATTTTTCAGTGCAAAGCCACTTTCAACATGGAAACAATCAAAGGAGATCAGTGTAGTGTATTTAATTAGTAGATTGAATCAATACCTTCTGTATGTCGTCTTCTTTAAGTGCACACCCTCTCGGTATGCTATTCTTGTGATGTCAATATATACAACTAGCGACACATATGTAGATGAGTCCTCGTGTATACAAGAATTAAGTATACGGAATTATAACAAACAGTAACATGCGTTCATTAGTCAACTCATGTGCTTACTTTGCATTATACCAAGCCTTGGGCGCATTCAGTTACGTTGTAGAGCCTTTGACGTTGACAGCAGATGGCGCTAAGCCGGAATCGGAAGAATGTCAACACAGTGACAACCCACATTAACAATAAGTGTTCCGCGCTGCGTTAACAAGTTTATCAACGACTGAACCTCTCAAACAACAGAGGTTGTAGTAACTGCCAATAATCCCATCACCAAGCCCCTGAATCAAACAGAAAGACGCCGGCTCACCGCTCTTACGTTCAGCCTCAGTCTCATCGCAAGGATATCCTCAGGGTCTGCCAGCAATTACAAGCCTTTACTGCTGCCTTTTGTCTGAGGTTACCTACCAGCTACCTATCCAGGTGACTGAATGTCGGCAAAGAGACAGTTACGATGCAGACCTCACGTATTTTCAAAGGTACCCTATGACCTACCCGTGTCTCACTTTCCTCCCCTTTCCAACATTGATTCAACGTCAATGAGAGTCAACGCTAACCAGTCTTTGCCATACTCACAGCGTCGCCTCACTGTACAGCCAGTCCTGATGGCAGATTTATTGCTACAATCTCTTCGCAGAGTGTCATAGTGCGCTCAGCACCCTCACTGTCGATTGCGCAGACGGTCAAGTTACCGCCAGAGTTCACTACCCCTGTGTCCACGTTGGCATGGGCACCCTCATCATCCCGCATCCTTGTTGCAAACGCCGACCAGATTCATGTCTTCTCGTTAGTTGACTCGTCATTTCGTGCCGCGATCAGGAACCCTGCGACAGGCGGAGGAAAACAGACCCTTGTGCAGTTTGGTGCATATGATGACGAGGTCTTTGCCTGTGCTGCATTCGGCCTCAAACTTTCTATTTTCGACTTGTGTGCTTCCAAAGCCATTGAGATTAACAACCCCAAGTTTTATCTCCCCGCGTCCGCACCAAGAGGGTATTCCTTGCGACCCCAGAGTTCTCACCTGGCCATCTTGACACGGACAAGTGGCCGTGATGCTGTGAGTATCCACGAGCCCAGGACAAGACGGGTACTACGATCTTGGTTCCCAGAAACAGTAGATGCTCACGGCTTGGCATGGACCCCTGATGGAAAGTGGCTCCTCCTGTGGGAAGCCTCGGCGCATGGCCACAAGCTCCTGCTGTACACACCTGACGGACAATTCTTCCGCTCCGTTGGCGCATCTAGCATTGCTCAAGGCCAGGACGCCGATCTTGAGGCTGGAATTAAGTGCTGTAGTCTTAGCCATGATGCATTATTCTGTGCTATTGGTGATGGCAGCAGGATAGTGAACGCTCTTCACACAAGAATGTGGAGAGATGGGTTAAAACTTACGCATCCCACCACAGTTGTCCCCAAGGATACACTCCAGGTGAGACCGATCTATCATCGAGTTACTTCTATTCTTACATAACACATCAGGTCTGGCAAGAACAGCTTAACAGCTCATCTCAAGGAGGTACCTCTCACACGTTTCTCCGTGCGAATCAGATGGTCTCGCCTCCTAGCCGATTGGTAGACGGCAAGCCTCCACCCGAGGTTAAGACGGGATGTTCCTCATTGGCCTTCGACGCATCCTCGACTCTGTTGGTGACTAGGCTCGACGACGCACCCACTACCTTGTGGATATGGGATGTCATCGTAGCTGAACTGCGCGCGGTGCTTATGTTCCACTCGGTTGTTGACTATCAATGGCATCCAACAGCTCGCGAGCTTCTATTGGTGACGTGCCAGGACGACAAGTACCGGGGCGTATGCTTCATTTGGGATCCATTATCTGAAGGGCCCAAGCCAGTCTCTTTGGGTTCTCACCTTCCTAATGGCAAACTTACTGGTAAATCACAAGCCGCCTGGATAAATGGCGAGCCTGAGTTTCCGGTTCTTCTACTCTCAGATGCGCAAAATGGCGTCTTGATATCGTGCGCAGATGCGGCGCAATGCCCGACACCCTGGCACGAGGGGGCTTCCGGCGATAGAACGTTGGGGTCAGTGCATGACATTGGAGACACAGTTGATGTATCTGCTCTGATGGCTGATGACACATCGACATTGGATGATACCTTCTCTTTCAAGCACAATTGAGAAACCAAGAACCAGGGACTGGCCTGCCACAACCTAGATGAAAAAAAGTATATTTGTGGGAGAAGACCTATGGCTTGGCTTGGCATGCGGGAAGCTACCTCAATACAAGGACGAAACCATCTTGGCTTAAGACGCACCTGCGAAGCGACTTGGCCCGTGTTACACAGGTGGCGCGTTGGTCCAGTGTTAATGCATTGCCTAGAAGCCATGTAGTTTCCTCTTATCTCACGGAAACAACTACATGCCTGCACGTTATCCCCTCGAAAAAGCAATGAAACTATTAGCGTTGACGCCACAGCAATGACATGAAGATTGGGTCGCAATGTGGGTAGACCTCTCAGTTGTCTCCGCTCTCTCAGCCAGCTTGGCAAAGGGGGTGTCTTGAGACCTTGCATCGAGTTCCGATCTCCATTAGCTGATTCATGGACGAGATCCATCGCGACCGAAGATCTAGTAACCGGTGTTTCTCAGAAGGTAGAGTACTGATCATAATATGACATGTCACATTGCACGGCGGGACTTATCCTGGTATTCTGCATAATGCCAGGGAGAGACGTTGCTTGAACATTGGGTAGGACCTATGGCTTGGAACGATCTGCTACAATTGATGATCAACGTTCGTGCAGACTACACCAGTTGTATAAAACTCTATGTCAACTAACCGGAACTTTTAAACCCGACTGTATTACCGTGCCTAGCGACTAAGTTAGATTCGCGACCAACCCACCCCCCACCTCCTGCGCACGAGGGAAGAGTATTGTACGTACCTATGTACCTGTCGAAATGCCAGCAAGGATCTCAAGTTACACTGCAGACTAGCACACCGTCAATCAACCAAGAGCTGCCGAGCTTGTTATGCCCCGGGTTGTTTAGTTTCAGCGCTTCCTAGCCCTGTGTTCATCATGAGACGATATCTGCTTGTGCAGAACGCCCGCCTTCTCAGGATGCATCCCCGACCCTGGAGCTCCTAATTAAAGGGCCAAAGACTGGGATCCAATGCAAGCAAATCCCGAGCCGGTAAGGAACGGTCTAAAAACAACGTTAGGCAAATTGCAGACATCTTGTTGTCTCTTTTGCTTTCTCTTTACTCCTTGCGGGTCAACTGTCACCCAAGACTAGATATAAAACTGCCACCAGAGCTCTCATAGCAAGCTGTATTGGATTGCATCGTGTTATGACTGATGTTGATTATATCACGAAAAAGCCTTGGTCCAGAACCGTGAGGATTCAACACAGATATCAACGAGTACTACTGCTGAAAACAATTTCAACACCGTCACGTCGGGGCATCGTCGCTTGCTTCTCGCACGATTGCATCGTTGTACAGCCTTTATTGTTCCTTATTTGATCCTCAGTATCACACAAGAAGCCGCTTAGAAGTCGAGATCGGCTTCGTGCATGTTCTTGTCAGCTCATGCTCACTGAAGCCACTGTTCAAGCGGACGTTGGTCCGGGTAACGAAACTGGCATTTATTACATTACCATTTGTAATGTGAGTCTTCATTCATGCATCTTGTTACTACGTGGACACGAACATACATCTAATTCTTTAGTAGTTGCCGTTTGGGACAACATGGCAGAAGTTGAAAGACTGGATACGGAGGGCATGTGTGGTAGACCATATAGAAGTGTTCCAGAGCAGCACTTCTGGGTGGGTCAGAGTCAAAGGTTTCGAAAACTTTGAGAAGGCCTGGGGTAAGAAACTATCAAAATCAGCATCTTTTTGTATTGACATGGTAGCAGGCCTTCTTAACGGCGGCATTTTCAACGGACGCTCAATTATTGCGTCTGACAGAAACCGCAACCATTCCATCAAAATCAGGGAATTAGCCATACCACGACAAGTTAAGCAAATACAGACACAGCGGTATCAGCCTGCTTATCCAACTCATCATGCATTTGCGGCACAAATGGCTACGGCAGCCCTGTACTCTATGCCTCCCGAGCAGGTAAGATGGCCTCCACGAAATTCCAATACTATGACTGGGACACAACTGATGTCTGTCGAGCTATAGTACTACATGGCTGGCTACTCCCCAGCCAACGATCCCAGATTCGCCAGTCACTCTATTCCACAAAGCTATACTCATCAGCCGCCGATCGTAGCAACAATAGCCGCGCCTGTAAGGCCAGCTACGTATCAGGCTGTAGGCCCGGGCAGTTGCTATGCCTATGGCATGAGAACATCACCCAACACAGCTGCCTACGTCCCCCAACATCAACATGAAGGGATGCAAACTGCTCAACCTTATCCTTGTCTCGACGAACACTCAGATTTTTACTCTGAGGGAGGTTTCTCCACTGGAGAGTCATCCTATAAGTCCGAATACATTGCGACGGAGCCACGTAAACTACATGTGTCACCATTCCCGCAACAAGCGGGTGCTGATGAAGTCAAGGCATGGATCCGGCGCAAAGTCGACAAGACAAAGATTTACTCCGTGGAGATTCCAAAGAATAGCAATAGTAGGTACCTCAGGGGCTACGTTTTAGTCGCTTTTGACAGTGCCTCGGCTGCAAGCACGGCCAAACAACTACTTAACAAAGCACGCTTCCAAGGCCGAAGGGTGATAGCGCGACCCGCTCGAGAAGGCGCTGTGACCGAACAACCAGGACTTTCGCACAAAGCAACCGCTAGGAGCGACCCGAAGTTGAGTAACAAGAATAGCTCGACAGCACCTTACGAGAGGGATGAAGATAGCCGAAAGGATGACAAACCCCTAAGACAAAAGAACAGGGAGGTCAGGTCGGCAAGCCCGGAGAAAAAGAGGACAATAGAAAAAAGGTCGCCTCTCCCAAGTAAGAAGACAGCTGAATCGCAAACAGACAAAAAATCGCCATCGAATACCCCATCCTCTAACAGGGAGCTTGGCAGGAAAGATGAAGGACCAGTCATTGTCGACGGAACGTGCCATCTCCGCGGCAAGAAGTGACGTTGGATATCAGCTTCTCTAGTCGAGTCCATACACTTCACCTTAATAGACTTAACAACGACCAACTGATTTGGTACCAAAAGCGTATAGTTTACTGGCTAGTATCACAGAACATGACCGTTGAAACCTTGGCATTGGCAACGTTGGCAGGCAAAAAGAAGAAATTTGTGACACTTGCTTTGGTTGACACTCAAAAATCACAACTCATTTCCTAGATAGCACCGATTCGGCAGGCCATTGTTCATTCTCCTTACATACGTTTTGCATTATCCACAAAGATCAAATAGTAAAGATGAGATTAGATAGGCCACTTTACGAGCAAGCAAATGAAATACCCTGAAACTTCATGCGGTTCAATCACACCCACAATGACAAAATAGGAGAGTAGACAGTTGTCAGAAAAAAGAAAGAAAGGAAGGAAGAAAGAAAACACTTCTCGCTTTTGCTTTTGCCAAGCTGACGGGATTTCCCCTGAACGGTACAGAACAAGTCTCACACATGTTGTCCCACGTAGTACAACGATTAATCGTCGATACAGACACTGTGGTTCACAATGGTGGAGTCCCACGATAGGGTTTCCTATTTTGACCAAGGAGAAAGCTTAATATTGGTTGCTGTAATTAGTGACATTGCTGTTATGTGATGTGATTCCTGAACATAAAGACTCAAGTTCTAGACATTGCCTCCGAATATTCGCGGCTCTTCTATCGGGGTGTTGTCTAACACGGACCACTTACGTAGTTCAATTCAAAAGCTAAGCTGTGAAATGGCCGGTAGGGCTATCGGCCAACCAGGTAATTGAGTGCCGCTAGCAGGGATTGCTGGCTCAGAGAGAGGAGGGGACGAGATAATCGAAGACAACTGATGCTTACAACAAGAAATATATTATGCTTCTCGTGGCAAGACCCTGATCGCGGAAGGAAAGGTTAACCACAGTCTATTAATTTGAATCTACCGATATCTTCTTGCTGCAGATTCCTCCCATCTTTGTGTCACACGAAAACGCTCAGAACAGTCGATGCAGCTAAGTCGTGCATGATACTATCTGATGCAGTCAACATCGACAGCACGGGAACATTGCCGGTAGCCCCGGGCATTTGACTGACACTGAGCCATGCCATGCCATGCATGTTGGTTTGGGTTGGTTGCACGAATAAAATGCAGCGATCCCTGTGTAACCTGACAAGTAACTCCACACTCCTTCCATCGTGGAGACACCGACCGTTAGATCATGTAGATCGTACCAAGTCCAATCAGCTATGTCATGCCGCCCTGTAGCCCGCTGTCACCCCTGTCAACTTGTCGAGTCTGTACTGAGCAACTACAAACTGTGCAGTAGTGCTTCTTCTTGTCATACACCCTCAACAGTTCAATTGCAGATGCAGATCGTTATGGAGCTTTCATCATTTCTCGTAATCGATATGCATGCCCAACCGCAGGATAAGCATGTATTAAGCTTGCCAGGAAAATAACTTGCATACGTGAAGCTTCTGGATTATACCCTGCTCCCAACGTGCCAACCTCATGGTCCAATTTTCTAAAGACCAAAAGCTCAACGTGTGGAGACTGTTAGCTCAACCACCAAAGTTCATCTTCAACGCAATAGTTGGCTGCCCAGAATCCCCTGCGGCCGCTTTGCTCACTTGGCTTGTGTTTTGACGGCCAAATCGGATCACCTCCTCGAGGAACCCCTTCTGCCCATCACTCATACCCCCAACCACGGCTCTGAATACTTCCTGGTCTGTTGCTGCGAGTTCCAGCAATCGCGCACTAGTCTCTTGGTACACCTCCTCACCTTCAGCTGTAGCCCGCGCCATTAAAGTCGGTACCACCACTGTAATGGCTGCTAGACGTCGACCCTTGTCAACTGTACCCGCATATTGGCAAAGCGTGTGAGCAACCAAGGCCCTTGCGTTTTCGGGATCTTCAGGGTCCGTGTCAGTCACAAAAGCTACCAGCTTGGGGAACAAGTAGCGAGCAATGCTGAGGTCAGCGCCAGTCGAAGACGACTGGAGCAGTATGGATCTGATGCAGTTGGCCGCAATCCTGGCAGTCTAATGTGATGCGAAGTGTGGTTAGCTACTCGTATTTGAAAGTTCGAAAACACAAAATGAACATACCATTCTATCAGTGAGGCAATCCATCAGCTCGTCTAGATAACGTGCTACAAGGGCTTCGGAAGCTGGCAGGTGGTTTTGACCTCCAGTGAAAAGAATAGTCGTGGCCATAAGGCAGTTCTTGACACATGTGAGAGATTGGGGGGCCTCGCGCTTCTGTGCGTTGAGGTAGATCGAAAGGAACCTGCGCAAACATCCTTGTAGCTGGATATCTGTAGATGATGGCTCACCGTTGCTGTGGCTTCTTCTTGACTTAGACATGCTGCCAACGAATCGCTTCAATGTGGGCAAAGATTGTGGAGCGATCAACTCCTGGCAACCAGGGGTTGATAAAATCGTGGCAAAGATGTGCACAATACAGGCATGAAGGTCTGTCTTGATGATGGCTGGGAAGACCTCTGCAGCATCTACGAGCGCATTCAGAGATGATTGTATCAGCAGGATAGCTTCTTCGTTCATCTGGTGCCTAGCTGGCTGGTTTCCTTCCGAGAGATTTGGCAGAAGCCCTGTAAGAACCAGAACAATAATACGCGTGAGCTCAAAGAGTTGATCGATATCGTCGGACAAGTCACCCTCCTCATTGGCGTGACGCCTGGCGGAAGGGTGTGCAATGCATAGACTTCTGGCAATATCAACGATCACACCTTGAATGTCTAGACTTTCAGTGAGGACTAGGCGGTCTAGTAGATCCATTGTCTCGGAAAACACATCCGGCCTATAGATAGCATGGCCAGATACGCTGGGGTGTAGAATCTTCTTGAGTGCTTGCAAGATAGCCAGTGTTTGGTCGTGTGCTGCTAAGGAGTCGCTTTGCCCAGAACGAGTGGCAAGAGCTTCAAAGGCAAGGCCGAAGAGGACGAAAAAGAATGCCACAGGCTCGTCTCGATAATTGATGTCGGAACTCTTGCCTTTACCGCTGGTTGCAGGGCCATCTGATTCCTTTCCGTCCAATGCATCAAACACAAATTCGCTATCCTGCTCAATAAGACTAGCAATGGCATCCACCAGCTTCAGCCAAGCATCTTGGTAGAAGCGGAGCAATGTCTCACGATTCAGAGCTGCATAGATGCTGTCGAGGCTCCCAGATAATGAGGGAGGTCCTAGAGTCATTGAGATATCAGGTTCGAATCGAAGACGCGCGAACTCGCGCAGAGACTCTAGCCACAAGGGTGTCAAGGTGCCAATATGAGGCCGGAGCACATCTAATAGATAGTTCTGCTCAGAGCTTGCAACCTGCAGCTCCGCCCAGGCGGAAAAGACGGAAATCTTGACCATCACTTGCGCGTTGGAACTAAGGCTTTTCAGATCGCCAATCGCAGCATTCTCACTGTCTTTGGAAAAGTTCTCTAGAGCGCCAACAAGGGTCTTAAGAATCCTGCCCATACGGTCCACATCGGTGACAATCCCGATAGAGATGAAACTGGCGCAGACGTTAACAGCCTCTGAAGCAAGTTCAGGTGAGGAATCGGCAGCAAAGGCGGGAGTGAGGGCTGAACTAATTTGGGCCTGATATTGCTCCAGCAGCATCGCCTCCTCAAAATCTGGATCGGGAGTTTTGCCGAACATCTTCAGCACATCTCCTATGATCTTCAAGCCCCAGATCCGAAGCTCCAAAACACTCGAAGTCGACGCAGAGAACGCCATACGAACAACGTCGGCAACCTTACTTTGAAGATCATTCTGTGCTTTCGACTCTCCATTGGCAGTTACGTCCTTGGTGATGATGGCAAACATCTCGTCGATGCAGCTCAACGCAAAGGTGGTGACCTGCCATCGCAGGGGCTCAACCTCGGAAGTCGCTTTGGTCTCCTTCTCATCCTTAGCAGCACCGGCCGCCGCAGCGAAACCAGCAACCTCTTCATCTTGGAGATCGGGCAAGCCGCCGCCCTTGGACCCAGATTGAGCCTCTTCAGTCTTCGGCCTAGCTCTTGTCATCTTCAAAACCGCTTGGAATCGCTGCAGCCACGCATTCGTCTCTGCAAGACACGTGGAATGCATCCAGTTGCGAATAATATTGCGGATTCCATCGTGCGATGGTGCCGTGTCGAGAACAAGCCAGAGTTGTTCCTCAAAGCCCGTCTCTGCTTCGCGGAGAACATCTTGAGGATTCCGCTTCATCATGTTATGTATTCCGTCTACTGATACGTCTCTTAGGGTAGTGGATTCAGACATAAGATACTTCTGGAGAAGCTTTACATAATCAGCGAAATGCATATGCCCAGGAGCGTAAAGAGATAGGTGCTCAAGACAGCCAAGTGCTGCTCTTTGTACTAATAAATCGTCTTCCTCGCGGAAACGGTTCACGAGTGTAAATATGAGTTCTCGTGACTTCAAGGCATCCTGTAAATCTGGACCTAAGACGTTAATGAGCGAATCAACGCATCGAGCGATGGCCGATGTTGTAGAAAGCTCCATTTCAATGTTCATGGTGATTGCCGATGAGATTTCGGCGTGGTGTGTTTCCGAAACGTAGAGCTGAACGAGCATTCCCAAAGTACTGGGTACGTAGCCGGCAAAGCTGAGCCCTGAAGCATCCGATGCTAGTGATAGCGCTTCGAGTGCCCAAAAATGAACCACTGGGTGGGGATCATTGCAAAGAGACATCAATATACCGAGAATGGTCTTGAGATGGTATCCAGCAGCCATGCCTCCAACCTGGGTCTGGATTGAGCCGAGGGCCATGGCACAACCTGCTCTTGCACTAGGCTCACGGTTGCCGACAATGGTATCAACCAGGTACTTGATCTCATTGTTCGTGAATGCATTTCCGTAGACATTACACAGACGAGCCGTAGCAGCATATCCTAAGCTTCTGACATGTTCGTCTGAATCGAGAACAAAATCGCGAACAATGTCTTGTAACAAGGCCTCAACTGCTTGGTT